TGCAGTAAGCAGTTTTTGAGTTACAAACCTACATGATCTCTACAATGATCTACAGTGGCCCTTCTGTGGAGTTTTGGATTAGAACATAGAAGAACAGAGTCTGAAGGGACCTTGGAGGTACTGAATAGAATAGAATAGAATAGAATAGAATAGAATAGAATAGAATAGAATAGAATAGAATAGAATAGAATAGAGCTGGAAGAGAACTTGGAGGTCTTCTAGTCAGCCTCCTCCTGAAGCAGGAGAACCAATACAATCTCAGATTGGTGTTCAGTACAACATGGAAGAATAGGAGGAAATTCCTTTCTTCTCTTTTAGTCAGAATAAAGCTGGAAGGGACCTTGGAGGTCTTCTAGTCCAACCCTCTACTCAAGCAGGAGACCCTGGCCTATACCATTCCAGACAGGTGGCTCTCCAGTCTCTTCTTAAAAGCCTCCAGTGATGAGGCACCCACGATTCCTGAAGGGAAGCTGTTCCACTGGTTAAGTGTCCTCACTGTTAGGAAGTTTCTCCTTAATTCCAGGTTGCTTCTCTCTTTGATCAGTTTTCAACCGTTGTTTTTTGTCCTTTAGTGCTTTGGAGAATAATTTGACCTTCTCTTCTTTGTGGCATCCCCTCAAATACTGGAATACTGCTATCATGTCACCTCTAATTCTTTTTTTCTTTAGACTAGCCAGACCCAAACTCTGAAGCCCTTCTTCATACAGTTTAGTCTCCAGGCCTTGGATCATCTTAGTTGCCCTTCTCTGAACTTTTTCCAAAGTCTCAACATCTTTTTTGCAGTATGGTGACCAAAATTGGTTTCAGTATATAAACCAAATAAAATTGATTGCAGGTCATTTATTCCAATCTCCTGCCCGAACAGGAGGTCCTCTACCATTTCAGAAAGTGGCTGTCCAGTCTCTTCTTGAAAGCTTCCAGTGATGAAGCTCCCACAACTTCTGAAGGCCACTTCTGTTCCATGGGTTGATTGTTCTTCCATTGGTTGAAGAATGAATTGTCATTCTTCAACCCCTCACAGACAAACCTTTTCAGTGGTGGGACCTGCCTTATGATATCATGTTATCTTCCATCATAGTAGAAGAATAGTTACTATCAATTATTTTGATGATTATGAAAAACTCCTCTTGTAACCCGTATCTTGTCTCTGTTTAAAATCTTCATCCCCCAACTTTTCAAAGTTCAGATCTTATATTGGTTGTCTCAATTAGTTCTTGGTTAAGAAATATGGTTTTCAGTTGATGGTTGATGGTTGATGGGGAAGGGTATATAAATAAAGAATTTTCCGTGTATCAGCAAATAACCTGACTTGGACTCACTTAAAAGCACCAGAAAAAGTTCTCACCTATCTCTAGAGAGCAACACAATTTAAAAGTATGCTGACACCAACCTGCGGCACAGCTTCATTAATCAGCTCCCAAATGTGTCTGAAATAAGACATTCTTCCAGTTTCAAGAAAATTTAAATTAAACCTTACTATTCCCTCCCTCATCCTGTCTTAATCTGCCCGCCAAGGGGGAGACTTTTCATAACTAAAGTTCAGATTGCTTTGTGCTGCCTGATCCCAATGCACAATTATTCACCAGCAAGCATTGCTGAGTTTAAAACCGTGCATGTGTTTTTTAACACCTTCAGGTTTTTTGGGGGGGGAAAATTTCCTCCTTCTCCAAACTTTGCATCTTTAAGATTCATCGATAATTCTTTTTTGTTCATTGGTTTCTTTCATTTTAAGAATGCCTCCATTAAATCGGGAGGTAGACCAGGGGTGGGATTCTACCGGTTCAGACCGCTTCTATAGAACTGGTTGTTATGATTTTGCGTAGTTCAGAGAACCAGCAAATGGTGCCCCTGGCTGGCCCCGTCCCTCTCTGCTGGCTCCCACACTGTTTTTGGCCTCCTGGGCCTCAGGGAAGCGTCCTGGGAGCAAAAATGCCCCCCAGGATGCTTCCCTGAGGCCCAGGAGGCCAAAAACACCCAGACCACGGGTGGGGGAGGGTGCCGCAAAAAAAGAAGAAACCACGCCCACCCAGTCACATGGCCATGCTCACCTAGCCACTCCCACCTGGCCACGCCCACAGAACCAGTAGTAAAAAATATTTGCATCCCACTCCTAAGCTAAACTTACCAAACACATTGGAAATGGACTGAGGAAAGATGGAATTGTTGAAATATTACTCAACTTCTCAGAATACAGGTAGTCCTCAACTTATGACAACAATGCGTGGGGGGGGCAACATTTCTGTGGCTGAGCAAAATATTTGTTAAGTGAGTCCCCCCCCCACCCGCTTTTCCGACCTTCCTCGTCACAGTGGTTAAAGTGAATCATTGCAATTGTGAAGTTAGTAACATGGTTGTTAAGCAAATTGGGCTTCCCCATTCACTTCGCTCATCAGACGGTCACAAAAGGGGATCACATGACCCCAGGATAAATGACCCTGTTGTAAATAGGAAACAGTTGCCAAGCATACAAATTTTGATCACGTGTCCATGGAGATGTGGCATAAGTGTGAAAAACAGTTATAAGCCCCAGCTAGTCCTTGACTTACAAACTGTAATTGGGATAGGATTTTCCATGACTAAACTACCAGTAGTACATGGTTGTTAAGTGAATCACCTCCAATTGCATCACCTTTTTGCCATCGTTTGTAAGTGAATCCTTGCAATTATTAAGCCCATCTGGCTTCTCCCATTGACTTTTCTTTTAAGAAGCCAGTTGGGAAAGTCGTAAATGGAGATAGCAATAGCACTTAGACTTATATACCACTTCATAGTGCGTTGCAGCCCTCTTTAAGCAGTTTACAGAGTCAGCCTATTGCCTCCAACCATCTGGGTCCTCATTTTACCCACCTCGGAAGGATAGAAGTGGAGTCAACCTCGAGTCTGGTGAGATTCGAACTGCCAAATTGCAGGCAGCCAGCAGGCAGTAGAAGTAGCCTGCAGAACTGCATTCTAACCACTGTGCCACCACAGATTGTATGACCCTGGGGTGCTGAAACCATTGTAAATACACACCAGTTGCCAAGCATCCAAATTTTGCTACTGTGACCACAGGGGTTGTCATGCCCCTGTCAGAGTCTGAATCCAAGGAGGAAGATGAATAGCGGACAGGGAGTGGGAGTGTGGCTCCGTTGGCTGTGGAGAAAACTGGGGAAGGGCAATGTCCAGCAGGGCAGAGCAGGAGAGAGGTAGAACAAGGGAGAGGGAATTCAGAGGAAGACCCAGGCCCACCCCCTTTTCATCCCAGGGCATGCAGGGAGGAATGGAGAAGAGAGCAACGTGGGTTGTGTGGCTTACGGGGGAGGAAAGGGCCTTGATTCCCTTCATTATCCACATCTGGGAAGAGAGTTTAAAAGAAATGCAGGCTGCGTGCAGCAGCTGCTGGGAGAAAACAAGAGTTTATCTTGTGTTAACTTTGCTTATCTGTGTTCCTGACATTTTTCCAACCATGTTGAGTTTTGCCGTGCCTTCACGTCTGGAATTCTTGCTCCCGCCCTGCTTAACTAATTACCTCCTTTTGCCTTGATTGGACTTATAGTTACAGTTTTTGTTGACAACATTTTGAATTTGATTCTCTGTAGTCAAAGGCTGTTCCTGGGAAAGTTTTTCTCCAGTCAGAAGGTAACCAGGAGATTGAGGGCAAAATTGGAGCTAATAAAGGGATTAACTGATTAACTGACTGTGTTGCCTTTGTGCCATCCCTGGGGCGATCACAGGGGTGCTGCTACTGCACAGGGGTGCTGCTACTCATGAGAACTGGTTGTAAGTCACATTTTTAGTGCTGCATAGTCACTACAGAAATGGTTGTAAGTAGAGGAGTATCTTGTCTCCAGTGAAACTACTAGGTTGAATGAAAAAGTCTTATTACTTTTAACACAACATGAGAATAAGCAGGAGAGAATCGCATAGCATGTGTGAATAGGATCATAATTTCTAACATTCTGTGTGTCAGATTGCTGAAGAGGCAGTCTCCATACAAATCCAATGAAACGTTCTCTCTAAACTTCACACAATGCTATGTTTCAGGCAAATATTTTAAATGCAACTTTTTAAATCAGCTTTCCTGCACGAACCTTGAATAATGATGCACAGTGAACCCCTTTTCAGTATTGCATACAGTCCTGTGATCTTAAATTCTCAGATTTCATGGAAAGGATGCAGAATAATCACCCAATTCACTGGAGTTTACTTCTGAGTAATTAATTATTACTGAAGTAACTGGTTCCTACCAATTTTGCCTTATTCCCTGGTAAGGATTGAGTGCCTTAGTGTAGATTACACTACTTGAATAGCAAAAAAAGTTGATCTGAATTTGAATGTACTTTCTAAACAACATTCAGGATTACAATAGTCAGATCACATTTTCATTGCCTTGAAGGTAATCTAAAGGTCTTATTTAAAAAAAAAATAGAAAGTTCGTATTGCTTCTCTAGGCTGAAAACCTTAGGAGTAAAATTAGCTTTTTGCTGACTGCTCCTCTTTGCTTTATCTCCTTCGGCTCAGGGAGATTTGAAAAGTAATTTAGTCTCTGCATTGGGCTGAAATTAAAAAGAAATAAAACCTGTGGCCTCGATATGCAACGGGTTTTGAAATAATGCAAATAAAAGCCATCCATAACGATGATGTTGTTTGAAGTGGCGAGAAGGAAAGAAAACTTTTAATTTAAGTTTGATTTTTAGCCACGCTCGGGACAATCGGTGGACATGTGGCTTCTTTTGCAGAACCAGAAATCTGCCCACAAGTGCTGTTCTTTAAAAAAATGAATTTTTTTCCCCCCAAAGTAAGGATTTTTGATCCTGGAAATCTTTCTAAATTACATATTTAGCAACATTAGCCAGTGAACAGCATGCTTCCCCCAGCAGTTAAAATATAAATGTATCCATAAAGCAAATAATTTTGTGGTCTGCGACGTTATTTAAAACATCCCAATTTAAGGAACACAAAGTTGGCCTGGACCATTTTTTCCTTAATCCACAATCCCTAAACCAGCAGCTTTAACTCACCAAGACTCGTCCTGTTTGAAGTCCCATTCCAGAAGAGCATGCCAAAAGGAGGGCCATCATTCCATTGTCTTGAAAGGGCTAAAATTATTTTCCAACACGGAGCTGAGAAAAAAAAAAGGAGAGAAAAGGGGGAAAAAAAAAAAAGAAAGCACGCTGCACCAATAGGAAATTCCCAGGAATTTTTGTTGTGACTATTTGCTTGCTAGATTAAAACAAAGCACATCCTAAAGTCCAGGGATCCAGATATATTTTCTGGGGGTTCCTAAAACGTTTTGATTTTCATCCATGAAAATCTTGGCTGGTGAGGAGACAGAAATACAGTTTGGAAGGGAAGTCCACCCATGTGAGCTGAAAAGAAGAAAGGCCATGCACTGGACACCCTTCAGACTGATAGATTTCAGGAAATCCAAACATTTAAACAGGAAATCTGAATACTAGATAAACATTCTATAATCTCCAGTGTTAGCTTGGAACTTGGCTGGTTAACCCTTCCTTGGCTGAGAGCTAGAGAGGAAAACTCAGTCAGATGGGCTTTTTGTAACTGGATCTCTTTAACAGTTCCCTCTTCGCTTCCATGTGCCAATAGAAAGATCTTGTTCTGAATGCCTTTCTCCTTTCTCTACCCCCATTTATTTTTAAAAAGTTACTAGCATCTGGCCAAAGAAATCTAATTTCTCTCTCTCTCTTTCCTCAATGTCTGAATCACTATCCAGCAAAAGCTTCAGGGAAAAGGCATGGGAATGTTGTGGCTAATATTTTCCACCAGACAGAAATATCTTAGAAAAAGAAAAGAAAAGAAATTGTGAATCTTCCATAGGTCCATTGAGGCCTTTGAACTCTGGTGCTGGAGAAAACTCCCGTGAGTCCCTTGGACTGCAAGACGATCAAACTGGTCAGTCTTGGAGGAGATCAACCCTTTAGAAGGCCGGATCCTGAAGATGAAACTCAAAGACTTTGGCCACCTAATGAGAAGGAAGGACTCCCTGGAGAAGAGGCTCATGCTGGGAAAGATTGAGGGCAAAAGAAGAAAAGGATGACAGAGAATGAGGTGGCTGGATGGAGTCACTGAAGCAGTCGGCGTGAGCTTAAATGGACTCCAGAAGATGGTAGAGGACAGGAGAAACATTGTCCGTGGGGTCACGATGGATCAGACACAACTTTGCAACTAACAATAGGAGAGTCAGTTTGGTCTACTCTGCATAAGGCATCAGAACCAGAAAGCAGGAGACCGTGAGTTCTAGTCCCACCTTAGCCATGAAAGACAGCTGGGGGACTTTGGGCTATTCAATAGATTGTGAGTTCTAGTCATGCTTTAGGAATGAAAAGTGGCTGGAGGACTTCAGGCCAGTCCTTCTCTCTCAGCCCAATCCACACCACAGGGTTATTGTTATGGGGAAAATAGAAGGACAAAGGTGTGTTGGATATGTTCGCCACCTTGAGTTATTTGTAAAAATAATAAATAAGGAATTTCAAATAAATATAAATATGAAAAGAAGGATTAGGGGTGACATGATAGCAGTGTTCCAATATCTAAGGGGCTGCCACAAAGAAGGGAGTCAAGCTATTCTCCAAAGCCTCTGAGGGCAGGACACGAAGCAATGGGTGGAAACTAATCAAGGAGAGAAGTAACTTAAAACTAAGGAGAAATTTCCTGACAGTTAGAACAATTAATCAGTGGAATAACTTGCCTCCAGAAGTTGTAAATTCTCCAACACTGGAAGTTTTTAAGAAGAGATTGGACAACTTCTTATCTGAAATGGTATAGGGCTCCTTGCCTGAGCAGGGGGTTGGACTAGAAGACCTCCAAGGTCCCTTCCAACTTTGCTATTCTATTCTATTCTATTCCATTCTGTATAGAAAAAAAATCTTCCTTAGCCAATGGTTCTTTCTACTCATTCATGAAATTGTCCCATTTTATTAAGTCTCTTCTTTTCTGCCACAGCTTTATGCCAGCTGGTTTTATATCTCAATTATGCAGCTAGAAAGGTTAATTTCAGGATCTTATCTGTGGATTAATTTTATTAGCTTTCTGGTTCTGTGCACCACATGAAAAGAATGAAAGAAAGAAGAAAAATGGCACCACTATAATAACTTTTTGTAGTTCAATCTAGTAGATCCAATTTTATATGTATGTTATAATGATGTACGAGAAATCAAAATCTCTTCCTGCAGGCTCTGAGATGCGGCCTCAGGAGTCCCTCTGGTCTCCCAAAACCCTAATAAATTAACTCATACTTATTCCCAACTTCCCGTTAACTTAACCAGGGCCAGAAAAGTCAAGATGATGGCTACAATGATGGAAGCTCTGGCCATTTTCTTTCTTTCTTTCTTTTTAACATTTGCTTTGCTTGGCCATCAGAAGAAGGAGAAGGAGAGAAGGAGAAGGAGGAGGAGGAGGAGGAGGAGAAGAAGAAGAAGAAGAAGAAGAAGAAGAAGAAGAAGAAGAAGAAG